AGCCTGGGGGTGCTGCGCCTGAGGGTACTGAGCCTGGGGGTGCTGCTACTGAGCCTACGGAGCCTGGGGTTGCTGCGTCTGGGGGTGCTCCGGTTCGGGGTGCTGAGCAGTCTCTCACACCGCAGCAGCTTCGTGACTGGTACGTCCGGCGCTTTCGCCGTCCTCGTGGCTCTGCTGGAGTTGGGGGTGCTGGAGCTGCTCGTTCTGGAGGTGCTGGCGGGAAGAGGTCTGACGCTGCTGGGGCCTCTGGTGTTGACGTAGCCGACTCGGGGGGTGCTGCGGCGGAGGGTGCTGGTCCTGGTGCTTCTGGTGCTGCGGGTGCTGGAGGTGCTGGCGGAGCTCCGCCGTCGCGCCTGTTCTTCGCTCCTCCATCGCCGTCGGCTTTGCCGCCGCCTGACACGGTGCTTCGCCAGGTTCTTTCCCTCCCGTCTTCCACTGGCCTTCCCCTCCAGCCTGGCTCCCCCCTCCCTGCTCCTGTGCCTTACACTGCACAGCCGGACTCGCTTACGGAGCGTCGTGAGCCTGCGTCTCGTCCTGCCTCGCCTGTTCGCGCTGCTCGCACTGCTCGCACTGTTCCCCCTGGCCGTCGTGTCGCGCGTCCGCGTCCTCCTCCTGTTCCTGGCACGCACATTATGGCACTTCGTCCTTCCACTGGTCCACAGCGTGTCCCCCTACCGTCTCCTCCTGCGTCTTCTCTTCCTGACGTTCCCGACCCTGAGTCTGACAGTGTTCGTGCTGCCCACCCTACTGTTACGCGTCTTCTCGCCACTGTTGTCACTGACCCGTCGTTTGAGTCTTCTGCTGCGTCTGCCCTGGTCGCTGAGCTTGTCGACTTTGCTGCTGCCTGTCGCCTAGACTACGCCACCAGTCTTGTTGCTGAGTCTGAGTCTGTCTGTCCTCCGTCCATCGGGGGTGAGTGTGCTCTTGGCACGGACATCCTTGAGGACAGGCAGGAGGACTTTGACTCTCTTGCGGCTGCTGTACCTCATCTCGTGGCCTGGTTGCTTGCCCCTGAGGGAGACCCGGATGCACTAGACATCCCCACTCCGCGCACTTACGCAGAGGCGATCTCGGGTCCCTACTCCTCTCAGTGGCAGACAGCCATGGACGTAGAGATGGCATCCTGGAAGTCTACAGGCACCTACGTCGACGAGGTTCCCCCTCCTGGGGCGAACATCGTCGATGGCATGTGGATTTTCAGGGTGAAGCGGCCGCCAGGTTCTCCACCTGTCTTCAAGGCTCGTTACGTTGCACGAGGCTTCAGTCAGCGTCAGGGGGTTGACTTCTTCCAGACCTTCTCCCCCACCCCGAAGATGACCACTCTTCGGGTTCTGCTGCACGTTGCTGCTCAGCGTGACTACGAGCTTCACTCTCTTGACTTCAGCACAGCGTTCCTGCAGGGCAGCCTGCACGAGGAGATCTGGCTGCGCCGCCCACCTGGCTTTACTGGGTCGTTTCCTCCTGGTACCCAGTGGAGCCTCCGCCGGCCAGTCTACGGTCTCCGCCAGGCGCCGCGTGAGTGGCACGACACACTGAGGACTACACTTGCGGCTCTTGGGTTCGCGCCGTCTACTGCTGACCCGTCGCTGTTTCTGCGCACAGACACGTCGCTGCCGCCGTTCTACATTCTCGTGTACGTCGACGACTTGGTCTTTGCTACTGCTGACACTGAGGCACTCTCTCGTGTGAAGTCGGAGCTGCAGAAGAGACATACCTGCACTGACCTGGGTGAGCTGCGTAGCTACCTTGGCTTGCAGATCACCCGGGACAGAGCACGCCGCACCATCACCCTGACTCAGTCACACATGGTGCAGCAGGTCCTTCAGCGCTTCGGCTTCCAGTTCTCCTCACCACAGGCCACACCTCTGGCTACCAGCCACTCACTCTCAGCTCCACCTTCGGACGAGTCCGTAGAGCCGAGTGGCCCGTACCCAGAGCTTGTAGGCTGCCTCATGTACCTGATGACTTGCACGCGACCTGACCTCGCGTACCCTCTTAGCATCCTTGCTCGTTACGTTGCGCCTGGGAGACACAGGCGAGAGCACTGGGAGGCTGCTAAGAGGGTGCTGCGTTACTTGTGCAGTACATCAGGCATGGGGCTGGTGCTTGGAGGACGCGACAGAGTTGTCCTCACTGGTCACTCGGACGCTTCTTGGGTGGACGACCTGGCTACGCAGCGGTCGTCACAGGGTTACACCTTCAGCCTTGGCTCTGGTTCTGTCTCGTGGCGGTCCACCCGCTCTTCTTCTGTTCTCGGCTCTAGTTGTGAGGCTGAGATCTACGCCACGGCCATGGCTGCACAGGAGTTACGCTGGCTCACCTACCTGCTGACTGACTTGGGAGAGCGGCCTAGTTCTCCTCCAGTTCTGTACGGTGACAACAAGGCGGCCCTTGCCTTGTGTCAGGAGCACAGACTGGAGCACAGGACGAAGCACATTGCTCTTCGCTACTTTCTTGCTCGAGAGCTTCAGCAGCGCGGTCAGCTTCGGCTTGTGTACGTGGACTCGAAGGCCAACACTGCTGATATCTTCACCAAGGCGCTCCCGCCTAGTGATCATCAGCGGCACTGTACTTCTTTAGGCCTTGTGTCCACGTTTCCTCATTTGCTTACTGCTTGACTTTCTTTGTACTGTACTTTATATATGTCTTGCTGTTTGTCCTGTTCTATATCTAGCACTGCATGTGAACTGGCCTTGTGGCCTTTGCTTGTGCTCGGAGTGTGGTGACGTTGTGATCCACCCTGGGCTTGTTTTGCTTTGCTGGACTGGTCTTGTGACCCTTTGCTCTCCCCCACTTTGCCTATGGGGGTGTGTTAAGTTGTAATGTGTTATTTATATGTGGGTAGGCTGTAGTGGGGTAGCCAATACAGGGTACAAACCCAACTAGGGTTAGCTACTTGTACCCAACTGTTCTTTCAATGCATCATTCTTGCCTAGTCCTGTTGATAGTAATAGTGGACCTATTGTAGTCGAAGACACGTATATGGTAGGACCCGAGACCAGAGTCAAGATCCAGATCAAAGAAAAGACAAGAATTCGGAGGTTTTGTGCCTTTCCTTCGCGCTGACAGTTTCTTGCTGCTAACCAGTTCCACCTTCCAGGTTCCTGTCCATACTGCTAGCAGCTGCATCCTTCAATGGTTGCACTGCTGTTTTGAAAATTATTTCATGCCTCGTGCTGATCTGACAGAAAATTTACATGCCAGTGTCACAGAAAAGTTTTTTGCCAGCGCCACAGATAATTTCCTTGCCAGCGCCACACAATCCCAACCAACCCCAATGAAACCTTCCTGCATTCCCCACTCAACTCGAATTCTAGGTTTGTCTCGTCTTGGTTTCTTGAGTTCGGGCACCTGCTCCACTCTGCTCTCTCTGCCCTTTTCTCCCCAACCCAAGCGGAGTCTGCTTTTTCCCTTGATCGCTTCTGCATGTCAGCTTGAACAAGTGTGTAGCCAAATGCATTCTCCCCTTCCCACCGCTCCGCTTGGCCTGCACGCCCATGCCTCCCAGCAGCTCCACCACTCGCCCTGCCACATCCCCCTGCCATCAGAGCATACGAGCACGGTGAAAGTATGGGTGGCAAGGAGGGGAGGGAGGGAGGGAAGGAGGAGGGTGGCGGAGGTGGATGGGGGAAGAGAAGAGGGAGGGGAAAGGGGGGAAGGAAAGGAAAGATTGTAAGGAGCTCAGCGGTTGTAGATAGAAAGAGGGGTTTCTTTGAAACGTGTCCTTTCAAGCAAGAGTCCTTTCCTCCCACGCAGCAGTTGTTTTGCCACTCTGCCTGCATCCCACACGTAGACAGTGCACCATGCGCCCTGCCCGCGCTGTGTGTGCATTGGTGGCAGTTACAGCAGAACAGCTTCTTGAGGGCCATGAGGGCCAATGAGGGCCATGACTCATGAGGGTCAAGTCAACACGGGTAACTGCAGACTACTGCAGGTTGTTGTGGGTCGGTGTAAGTCGATACGGACAACTGCTTGTTAATGAAGGTCAATGTGGGTCAATTTTGGTTCAATGCGAGAAAAATCAGAGGTACTGCAGGTCAACGGAGGTCAACAAAGGTCACGGTGGCAAGGAGGTAATATCCATGTGAGCGAATCATCAAGAGAGGGGGCGATGGCAGGTATTGCAGAGCCATGAGGCATGAGGCATGATGAGACATGACGCATGAGATATGAGCCATGCATTATGCAAATGCACAATGCACCACGCACCACGCACCATGCACCACGCACCATGCACTATGCACCATCGCCCATGTGACGATTGGGTGGTTCAAGGGTGGCTGTGGAGGCAGTGAATGGATGCAAGCACCAGAGGGAGGAGGGCAACCAAGAGGAGAGCGAAGGAGAGGAGTGAGGGAGAGGGGAGTGAGATAGTTAGTGGGAGGCTATAGTGGGGATGGGAAGATGAACGGTAGTCATATAAGGGAAACTGTGCGAGACACGATGCCTATGACAGGTGAGGATGAGGGAGAGACAGCACAATGCACAAGAATCTCCTCGCAAAGAGGGGCATAGCGCGAGCCGGAAATGGAAGACTGGGTAAGCAAAAAGAAATTGAGTGGCAGGGAAAGAGTGCAAATGGTGATGGCTCATAATGGTCTCCTTTCCTCGTTAGCCTGACATGTCAGCCAGGGACTAAGTCTTACGGTGGATAACAGGTTGTGGATCATCCCCTCTGTTGGAGAATGGATATCATCGCCAGCAAGATTCGAACTCTGACCATCAACTCACAATAAGGTCTTGTGAAATTAAGGCCGAGAGTGCATAAGAACTCATCTTGGACTCGGAAGCTAATCGCGTCAGGATTATCCAAGTCGAGGTTCGTGCACTGCATCCTGCGAGCACGATCTGATTACTCTTATAGCCCCTCATTCCGCCCACTCTTATTTACCAGTCATAAGGTACCAGAAGCGCTGAGATGTGCACCGAGTCAGAGGCAAGAGAGACAACACCCAGTCACTCTCTGCAATTGCGCTGAATGTACCTGTCTGTAATAGTGTCTACTTCCCCTTTCCCCCACTCCTCTTGGCCTGCACGCCCATGCCTCCCAGCAGCTCCACCACTCGCTCTGCCACGTCCCCCTGCCATAGCACCACGAGAGCACAAGGGAGGAATCAGGGCAGGGACGGAAGGGAGGGAGGAAGAAAGGGGGGGTTGTGGAGGTTAAGGGATGGAGTAACTTGGGGCCCTGCTGCCCTGTGCGCCCTGCTGCCCTGTGCGCCCTGGTGGTCGGTATGAGCCCAGTGAGCGAACGGCTGGTGAGCTCTGCGAGGAATGCTGCTAGTAACTGCGGTTACTGCAGGTCAATGCAGGTCAATGCAGGTCAATGCAGGTCAAGAGCAGTTTCTTGTGGCGAACGGCTGGTAAGCTCTGCGACGAATGCGAGAAACTGCGGTTACTGCACGTCCATGTGTTCAACGCAGGTCAATGCAGGTCAACGCAGGTCAACGCAGGTCAACGCAGGTCAATGCAGGTCAACGCAGGTCAATGCAGCTCAATGAGGCCAATGTGGCTCAATGTAGATCCACCATGCGCCATGACCCATGGGTCATGCATTATGTATTATGCGCCATGACCCATGCACCATGCATTATGTACCATGCGCCATGACCCATGCACCATGCATTATGTACCATGCGCCATGACCTATGCATCATGCATTATGTACCATGCGCCATGACCCATGCATCATGCATTACGTACCATGCGCCATGACCCATGCATCATGCATTATGTACCATGCGGCATGACCCATGCACCATGCATTATGCACCATGCGCCATGACCCATGCATCATGCATTATGCACCATGCGCCATGACCGACGCATCATGCATTATGTACCATGCGCCATGACCCATGCATCATGCATTATGTACCATGCGCCATGACCCATGCATCATGCATTATGTACCATGCGCCATGACCCATGCATCTTGCATTATGTACCATGCGCCATGACCCATGCATCATGCATTATGTACCATGCGCCATGACCCATGCATCTTGCATTATGTACCATGCGCCATGACCCATGCACCATGCATTATGCACCATGCGCCAGGACCCATGCACCATGCATTATGTACCATGCGGCATGACCGACTCATCATGCATTATGTACCATGCGCCATGACCCATGCACTATGCATTATGCACCATGCGTCATGACCCATGCATCATGCATTATGTACCATGCGCCATGACCGATGCATCATGCATTATGTACCATGCGCCATGACCGATGCACCATGCATTATGTACCATGCACCATGACCCATGGCATGCACCATGCATTATGCACCACGCGTTATGCACCATGCATTATGTACCATGTGTCATGACCATGCGACAGACCCATGCAATGAATGAGTGCCCGCGGAAATGAATGTGGATGGAAGCAGAGGACTAGCGGCTCTGCTGTAGAGAGCAGTTCACAATGGTACTCCATTCCAGTAATGAAGATGCAAGGAGAGGAAGATGCAAGGAGAGGAAGGGGTTGCAGGATTGAAAAAAGATAGGGAGTGCGAAGGACGGAAGAGTAGAGCAAGAACGAGGGGAGAGCGTGGGAGGACCAGCAGGGAAGGGAGGATAAGTTGAAGGGGCGTACAGTGGTTAGGGGTGATGCGGGAATGAGGTAAATGTGCATATAGGTAAGGATAAGGGAGAACTGGCACAATCCGGAAAGATCGTACTCAAATGGGTAACAAAGGAAAAGCTGTTGGCTCATATTGATCTCCGTTCCTCGTTAGCCTGACTTGCCAGCCAGGGACTAACTCTTCGGTGGAGGACGGGTTGTGGATCATCCACTCCGTCGGAGAATGCTTATCATCGCCAGCAGGATTCGAACACTGACCGTCCATTTAGAATCAAGTCTTGTCAGATAATGAAAACCACATTTATAAACGTTGTCACAAGGTTTCACAAAAAGTAGCCCGGTTTGTGACACGACCTCCTTACAGAAAGCGTAGCTGTAAGGACCACAGCAAATCAACTACAAAAAACCCCTCACAAGGCAGTAACGTGCACGCCAGCCTTTTTGGAATCGAAAGCTCATAGTTCTTACCGCTGATTTATCCCAAGACTTCTTCCTGTCTATCTCACAACATTCAATTTCGTCTTGTCTACCACTCAAAGCCGTACCCCAGTCGCTCTCTCTGTGGCTGCCCTGAAAGCCGGCTTTATCTGCCCAGCCCCACACTCCCTCCACCACTCTCACCCTCACTCCTTCCCTCACGCTCTTCCTCATTCCCTCACTGCCTCCTTCACTCCCTCCTTCACCAGAAGCTCCAAGCACTGGTCCTTCATGTTCCTGCAAATCCCCTCCGCTCACTCCCTCTCTCAAACCCTTTTCTCACTCCAAGCCTTACCTCCAGTTGAAGGTATCCGTCTTCCACGGCCCCGCCGATTCCTCCTTCACTTCCTCCTCACTCCCTCATCCCTCCCCCCCTCCCTCTCTCACCCCTCACTCCCTCACTCCCTCCCTCACCAGCAGTTCAAAGCATCCAGCTTTCACGGCTACGCCACTTCCTTTCCCCAGTCACCCATTCCCTCCCCCCATCCCTGACTACTTCCTCCCCCGCATTCCCTCCCGCACTCCCTCCCGCGCTCCCTCCCGCACTCTTCCCCTCACCTGCAGTTCAAGGCATCCGTCTTTCACGGCGCCGCCACTCCCGAGGGCCACTTTAAGCTTCTTCAGCAGAGCTGCCACCTCAGCATCGCCGCCAGCCAATCGCAGCCCCTCCACCACCGTCACCGTTTTCCCGCCACGTCCGCGCCGCGTCGCCTGCACCGTTACTCCGCCGCCCTTCGCCGAAGCCGCGCTCTTTCCTCCTTGCTTGCTTCCGCTTTTCCCGGAAGGTGCGTTTCGGCTCGGCGCGCTTCCTCGCTTACCGCTTCCGCTACCCGCGGTTCGGGATTCTCGTCCTGAACTTCCGCTAGAATCACTTTTGCGAATAATCACGAAATCGTCGGCGTCCCTTCTAGAACTGCCCGAATCGCCATCATCTCGAACGTCCAATGGTTCTGCCGCATTGCCGCCAAGCGGAAAGCTTCGCTTAAGGTCTGCGAAAGGGTTGCCGCCTTGCGACGTCGACGCGCCCTGCGACGGACGACCGGCGAATGCGGTAATCACAAGGTAGCAGGAAGAAGAGCTTGCGGAGGACAAAGCGATTGACGGCGAAGATGCCGGACGGAGGCCGGCACGATCTCCGCAGATTGCGGAAGCTGCGACGCTGGAGGGTACTAGCGAAAGTGAAGCCATGCTGGTGAATCCGTTTTAGCGGAAACAGACAGCTTTGGTCAGAAATTGTACGCCATAGCGGAGACGATGCGTTTAGAATGTGTGAATCTCGTTTCACGAAAACACGTCACTTTCGACTCTATACTGAACAATTTTTTTCAACGAACTTGTAAGGTCAGGTGGTAAAATCATTTCTGGTGGTTGGAAATTGCCACACTTCTGTCCACGTCTTGCTGCCCTTGAAACACGTCCCCATCCGCTTCGATCACCGTCCATTTCAGCTTCACTTCGTAAGAATCCTTCGAGCCGAATGACATGGCAGTCCAGTCAGCGTCTAACGGCTGCCACGCAATCACGAGAACGTGGATCACGGATGTTCGAGGGAGCTCGGCGACTTGACTCTAACGAGGGTTGACGCACGACAACGAGTAGCAGAACGCCATTCCAGAAGCAGCACGAGCAGCTTCGCCCGCCATCGCCAGTCGCACTTGCCGCGCGATGCAACGGAAAAAACTTGTGCTAAAGCCACCGTAGCGTAACGCATGAGAACGTACCAGCATTCATATCGTAACTCGTCTCACCGTATTCAACCGCATTATCATTTGGTATCTTCTGCTGTTGCTTTCCTGCTGATGCTGAATGACCGACCAACCAAGGGTAAGGGGGAGGCCAGTTACTTCTGTGTTAGTCTCCGCTCGTCTGTCTCATGTCAAGAAAGAAAAAGTCTCTTGGCATACCTGCTGTTCTACGGTATCTTTCCCCCTGTCTTAATTTGGACTTGTCCGAGTCGCCACCGTTGATCTCGTCCGTGAGAAGCTGTGCCTGAAGGACAGGCGACCATGGACACGCTTCGCGTTTCCGCTCCCACCGCATTGTCGTCCCTAGTGTTATCCCCGTTACGAGCGCCTTCGTTAGTATCACCGAATTTCGGCGCAGTTCCGGGTTTGCCCCCGCGCTTCTGCGTTTCTGCCGCCATCCACCATTCGGACAGCAACAAAGCTCCTTTCTCTGAAGCTTCCGCGCTGTCGCACCGCCACGCCTCGTCCCCGCTCTCCGCCCCCCTCCCTCCTCGCGCTATCTGCCACGCGGCGAAAAGACCAATCACCAGACGCCACGTGGCGGCCAAAGACGCAGTGGACGGAGGCTCCGCCAGCGGCGGCGGCGGCGGCGGGAGCGGCGAGGAGAGCGATGAGGACGAGGAGGTTGCGACGCTGGTGCGAGGGATGACTTTCGCTGAGCTCTGCGACGACTTCGAGTGCGTGAGCAGCCCCGCCGTTGAGCGAACGGCGAAACAGCTGGCGAGAGACATTCACGACATGCGCGAAGACAGGAGGACGCTCTCGTGTTTCGCCATCGATTCAAAATATTCGGTAAGGCGAATGTGAGACGCGTTTCAAACGAGTGTACAGCGAGCGTGTTAATATCGCACGCGCCTAGGATCATATTGACACTTGGTAAGGATGATACGCGTGCCGAGAATTTTTGTCGCGCACCGGGATAAGGGAGGAACCGACGAGCATACTGAACAATCAAGAACGTCCGCGTCTGGCCAATCAGAAAAATATTGGAATAAGCCTCGTTCACACACTTTCCTGTTTGCATCGCCGGTTTTCCAGTCTTTATATTATTCCCTCCACTCTGCGTTCTATTCCCCAACTCCCTGGCGCGGTTGAGACTTCTCGAGTCACGTGTACCACTCCTTCAGTCCCATCGTTATCTAATTGCTGCTCTCCATATCTGTTCTTATCGTTGCTCCCACAGGACTCGATTCGGTCCTTCACGGGTCGCGACAAATACCGCCGCCTTTCGTGGATCCGCAGCGCGCTTCAGAACTCCTCAGTGGTGAGCATAGCAGGCTTGGCAGCAGCGCCCTTCGTATACTCATATCTTTCGTCTTCCATAGTAACCTTGTTCCGACTTTATGTGGCGCTGCCGTGTAACATGGTGCCCAAGAATAACCTAGTCACCTAGTCGCTGGGACTCGGGCTCGCGATGTGTGCTAAGTATCGTTCTTGGAAGCGAATAACCTAGTCGTGGGACGTCTGAAAACACGGGAATAACAACCACGCCAGCGACACTAGGGTTATTTCTTTATGGTACTTCATTGGAATGGAATACATGACAACGACAAAGCAGGTGCTAACTCGGTCATCCCCTTCCTCTTCTCCCCTTCATCCCTTCTAATTCCATCATCGTGTGTTCCCCTTCCCTCCACCGCCCGCCCACCCCTTTCGACCAAACCACCCCCCCCCTTCCTCCCCGCCCGCGCACACACGTTCCCTTTCCAGCACATGCTGGGGATGTCAATGGAGTTCAAGAGCGCACACTATATGGTCTCCCCCCCTCCCGCCCTCTCCCTTCCCCCCCCAATCCCCTACTTCCCCGAGCGCAGCACATGTTGGGGATGGCAATGGAGTCAACGAGCGTCCTCATAATCACGTGGCAGCTGCGCGGGTACCTCGTCATCCCGGGCGGTTTGCTGGACGCGTCCCCCCTCCCCATCCAAACCCCCCTGTTGTGCGCACACCCGTTCCCTCCCATCGCAGCACATGCTGGGAATGGCAATGGAATCCACGAGCGTGCTCGTGATAACCTGGCAGCTGCGCGGGTACCTCATCATCCCGGGTGGCTTACTGGACGCGCGCGTGACGTCCACGTTCACGCTCAACCAGATCAGCGGCCAGGTCATCAGCCACCGCGACCAATGGGACGTCGCCAGCTCAGCGCTGCCCATCCAGCTGGCGTTCTGGGCGTCGCGGGCAGCGTGGGCCGTGTCGGAGGCGATTAAAGACGTCACGGAGAAGACCGGGGAGGCGAGCACGAGCGGGGGCGGCGACTCGAGTTATATTTATCCGCACCCGTCTGGCGACCCTAGACGAGTAGGTGACGGGGAGCGGTGGTGTCTGTGCGTGTGTGCGGTGGTGGTGGTGAAGATGATGTGTGCACGTGCCTTTAGCGGTGGGCGTGCGTGTGACTGTGTGGAATGGAATGAGATGGGAAGGGGCGAAGGGCGAAGGAGGGCTGGGCGAAGAAGTCATTGCTGTGCGTCCGTGTCAGGACGTGAGGAGGAGGAGGGATGAGGGAAATGGTGAGGTGGAAGTGTGGGTGAAGGAAGTGGGGAGGAGGGATGAGGGAAGTGAGGAGGAGGGATGAGGGAAGTGGGGAAGAGGAATGAGGGAATCGGGGAGGAGGTGGGATGAGGGAAGTGGGGAGGAGGGCAAGTTGTGAGACTTTTTGTAATGCATCCACATAAACATTCACCGAGCAGCAGCAGTCATGCCTTACTGTTTTGTGCTATCCTCGCATCATCCCACAACCCACATCATCCCACAACCCACATCATCCCACCACCCACATCATCCCACCTCCCACATCATCCCACCCACATCATCCCACCACCCACATCATCTGCCATTTCCATTAACCTCACTCCTCGCCCTTGTCCCAGCCCTAACCCCATTGCTGCCCTCCTAACCGTGGCAGCCACCCCATCACCACCCCATCACCACCGCACCACCACCCCATCACCACCCCACCACCACCCCACCACCACCACCACCACCACCACCACCACCCCTCCCCAATTGCCGGTCATCCAGGTGCAGATCGCCTTCGACTTCAACAGGGGCTGAACCAGGCGATTGCCGCATCCATGCATGCACATCTGCCTCTTATTCCCTTCTATTTACCCCACCACCATCTGCACCCCTTGCCCACGTTGCAGTTCACCCAGCACAGCAGGGCGACCCCAACAGGGCCCTCTACCTGTTCGTCTGTGCCTCTTTCCCCTTATCCGCTCCTCCTTCTGATCTCCCCCCCCCCCCCCCCACCCCCCTTCCCCCCTACCCCTCGCCCCTCTCTGCAGTTCATACAGCAGGGCGACCTTAACCGAGACCTCCACCAGGCGGCCTTGTGTTTATTCATGCCTTGTTTGTTTCCCCTGACCATTCCTCTATCAACCCACCACCATCTCCACCGTTCGCCCCTTGCTGCAGTTCATCCAGCAGGGCGACCCCAACAAGGTCCTGTACCAGGCGACCTTGTTCATCTGTGCCTCTTATGCACTTAAACCGTATTATCACTCATCACTCCCCTCCCCCCTACCCCGCGCCCCCCATCACAGTTCATCCAGCAGGGCGACCCCAACAAGGACATCTACAAGGCGGTCTTGTGTTTATTCATGCCTGGTTTCCCCCTGACCATTTCTATCACCCCACCACCGTCCCCACCGTTTGCCCCTTCTCTGCAGTTCATCCAGCAGGGCGACCCCAACAAGGACCTGTACCAGGCAGCCTTGTGTCTAGTCGTCCCTTTTTCCCCTTATCCACTCGTGTTACTTCCCCCCTTTCCCCCTACCCCTCGTCCCTTGCTGCAGTTCATCCAGCAGGGCGACCCCAACAAGGACCTGTACCAGGCGGCCTTCTTCATCGCGCTGCTCTACCTCATGGTGCAGGCCGTGCAGCTCATCATCTGATCTGATCTGATCTGATCCCACACGCCTCTTTGCTGCACCTTCCGAAGCGGAAGATCAGGTGGAAAGGACTTGGGTTTACGCTGTGGGGCATTGTTTGGTAACAACGAGGGATAATGGGTGGTAAATGCTCATGGATGGGCGTTGAGCCTGGTTGCAGCATGCGACGTGGATATCCCCATCAAAGTCAGTTTCGATTGAAGTGCATTGTGGACTTGCCAGCTACATGAGACTTGATGGTGAGCCAACCCGACGGCAAAGGCTCCAGCAAGTGTGTTCCTGGTACCTTAACTTGGTCTCCATTTTTGTATTGCTGGCTGG